AGTACAAGATCTGAGTCCATATAAACACAGCTGTCTCTGTATTGTGTGTTTTCCTGTTCTTTATGCCACAAAACGCACATTTTCAAGCTTGTATTTAACTAATAACGTGATACCGACCTCGTCATGCTGCTACAAACTCCTCTGCAGTGAATCCAGAACGTCTTTCTAAGTTTTTCTAAGTGCAGGAGCTGCTGTGCTCAGTGAAAGCAAAGACGCAGAGTGAACTTTTATTACTATTGTCAGGATTATTGCTGCTCTTTTATCGCGCTATCAGTCTATTAATGTGCTATTTCTGCTGGATGAGCATTAATATATTCAGCAGCGCATATCGACTCCTTGTTGTCGCTGATTTCCTGTCTTGTATCCATTAATCATACCGATTTAAAAGTCTGTAAGAGACATCCTGCCCAAAACGATTCCTCCACATCCTCTCCTTTCTGTTATTAGCATCACCATAAAAGTAATTTGAAGAGTCTACAGTTATTTTCAACCAGGCGGTGCTTTCAGTGCTCTCAGCCTGTTAATGGATAAGTATCAGCCACTTGTGCGAGCGTGACTGCGAATAAAAGGTTAATGAAAGTCGCGGCGGCGTGGAGGAAGCACCCCGGGAAGGTTTTTTTTTTTTTACACGTGCAGCAGCGGATCTTGAATCGCTTCAGAAGTTTCTCGAGGAGGTAAAAGTGGATGCTGCTGAAGGAGCGGGTCAAACCACAATCGCCAACATGTGTGCAGGAAGCTCAAGAGCCAGGGATTAGGTCATTTAGCAGAATAACAACGAGGAGTTTTCCAATCAGTGAGAGCTACTGCACAGCAGGAGGTCAGTAAGGTCCGCTTTCTGTCTCACTTCTTGCTCTTTTGTTGACGCTTTCGAGGCTCAACCTGCCAATCTGGCGCACAAACGTATAATTTCACACAGATGGAAATGTTGGAGGTGGAAGAAGAAGAAGTACTCAGATCTAAAGAAAACACCATAGAGTACTTTGATTACAGCCCTGCATGTCGATTCTTCTCCTAATACAAAAGCATTAGCATCAAAATATACCTGAAGTAGCAAAATTAGAATGACTCATAACGCAAAGTGGCTCATCTCAGTGTGACATGTATGACTTGATTATAATTATTGACGTATGAATGTGTTCGTTCACTTTAATGGTAATAATAAAACTGGTTTTAATGACTTTATTCACTGCTGGATAGTTTTTATATTTCCTTTGGGGATAAATAAATAGTAAAAATACATAATTTACATGTTGAACCTGACAACTAATAAATAAAGCTATCAAATAAATCAATTTTAGTGGCAAAAAAAAGGAAATAATCAAGTCCAAGTACCCCAAATTCACAGCTAAGTGATATTCTTGTTTAAATGTACAACACATAATCATCAGTTGTCAACGTTAAATTAATCACCGAGTATTTTGATGATTGATTTATCATTTTAAGTCATTTTTCTAAGGCAGAAAAGTCAAACTCCTCATATTTCAGCTTCTTAAACTGTAATAATTTCTGCTTTCTTTGCTCCTCTGTGACATTAAAACCGAATATCTTTGGCTTGTGGACAAAATGTTCTGCTTTTAGAACACCGATCGGCTCATTTCTAACATCGTCTAGGACATTTTGTAGATAATTATTAGCTGCAGCCTTCGTTACTTCACACAGTTGTCCAATATTCTGTTCTTCTTTTTCTTTTTCCCCTTTATGTTCAAACAATGGATCGTTTTTTTTCTTATCCGTCTGAACACAACACTTGTTCACGGTCACGGTAATTGTCCCTCGCGTCCGTCCTCGTCACGCACAGATTCCTTCTTCATTTCTGCTCTGATTCAAAAGGTGAACCAAAGCTAATCAGAGTTTCCATATTAAACAGGAACATATCAAAGCTACAATCTTATTAATGCCATTTTTTTGTGTGTGCGTGTTTTCTCATCGCTTTGTTGTTGCGTGTAAATTAAAGTGAAAGTAAATTAAAGAGAGCGCATTTTAGAAGTTATCATTTGATCTGTCTCACTCTGAAGTCTCCTTCCAGCTTCTTTTCTTTTAACTTAGTAATTAATATTCCTCAGATGTGTTGCTACAGTACATCACAGCAGGGAGTCGGCTTGAAAAATAATATCGTCTTCATTTCAGCATCTGCATTAAAACCGATAATTGCTGCATATTGTAGCTGTGATGTTCAGCTACGGGTCAAACAGCCTCCAGACGTAAAACATTTTTGGATTGTTTCTTGTCTCACGTATGAGATGTGCTGGTTTCTGAGGCTCCACCTGCCCTGACATCTGGCCAACATGTGTCCTCTGTTTGTGCACACGGCTGCCGAATCGCTTTACGGCCGTCTGACCTTCCCGAGTTTTCAAATGTTAGAGAACGAACTTCCGCCTCTTCTGTCCTCATCCAAGCAAACTGAGCTAAACAATATTAAAGAAATGTGATTTTGTTTGCAAGTTAGTGACAGAATCTGTCGTTTGACTTCCCTTCGCGCTCATGCTTTAGTTTGCCGTGCGTTTGCTGCTTTAGAGGATTCCGGTCATTCGATGCCACAGGGGTCAGCTGGCCTCCTCCAGGCCTATAAAAGACAGTTGTGTTTACCTTTGGGGCTGAGGTCCATGCCCTCCACATAGAAAGGTCCGTTCCTCAGACCTATTTCCTGCAGGATGATGCCAAAGCTGTACACGTCGCCCTTCTGGGTCCCCTGAGGAGGATGGCGGTCGTATATTAACAGCTCCGGAGCCGTCCACAGCTTCTCTGAAACAAAACAGAGGAACCGACGCTCAGGGAACGTCTGAAACAAGACAGCAGCCGGCGTTTTTTTTTGTGAATGACTTACTTGCATAGAGCGCGTGCGAGTCGTCGTTTTCGCAGGACGAACGGAAGCTGGCCAAACCATAATCCGTAATCTTCAAAACAAATCGACTGTCCACCACGCAATTAGATGACTTCAGATTTCCATGGCAGCCGAAGTAGCTGTTGTGGAGACAGTTCATCCCCTGGTGCAGAGAAGTCGAGCATTAAAGGTTGCTTTCTTTTCTTTTTATTTGTCTTTGCAGCAACTTTAAAGCACCAAAATCCAGACATATGGGAATAATGACAAGTGGATGTACGCTGGAAGTTTAGAAAAAAGAGGCCGTGTTTCAAGGACACCGCTGTCACCAGGGAGTTTCTGTGAAATTACTGCTAATTCCTTTGGGAATGAATGTACTCATGTTCAATATTTAGTGGAAACGGTGACTCAAACATCCCTCACAGCTTCAGCGGTGCCTCTCCTCTGCAACACGCTGCTATCTGTGTGGAGCAATTCAGCCGAGGCGCTTCGTCATGCATGTAGCTCAGCATCCATCCAGGACCTCCTCATAAAAAGCCTCTTTGTTGGGCCGGATTAAAATGAATCTGCTGAATTACGTCCGTGATTAGTTTTGATTAAGCTGAAGGAAATTTTTAGCAAACATTATGATTTTGTTTCTGTCTTTATATAAGGACGATGTTTACTGTACTTTCATGCACTGTGCTCAGCCAAAAAATACATTTTCTGTGCATGTTTCTCTGCCTCACTCACTCAATAACTGTCCATGTGAAACCATAGCAACCCAGACATTTTTTGTGTGCATCTCCGAGGCACACAAAGCCTCTTATTTAACACTGAAAAGTGACCTTTTTTGGCAACATTTATGTGAAAGCACATAAATCAATGCCTCTGTCCGGCCTTTGACATCTGGTTTTTTGTTTACAGTGTTTTCAGTCCGACAGTTACACACCTTCACGATGTCATTGATCAGCGAATAGCGGAACATCCAGTCCAGGTTGATGCTCTCATTCTCCAAAATGTCCTAGAAAGACAAGAATGAATCAAAAAGAGAGTGTTACAGACAAGAAAAGACAAAGTTTGCACATAGCCTTTAAACTTCTCAGCAGCCAAGAAAGCCTCAGCATTTATCTGTGACTAAACACAGAACCCCCTAAAGGCTAGATAAAGTTCTGTTTTTTGTTTTATTTCAGGGTCATGCATGTGGCCCTACAGGTTGTTAATGAATAACTGAGAAGGGCCTGCAGCTGGGCTCTTGGTCCGCCGTTGACATCCAGCCGTGTCTCATAAGTTGCAGCGTTCCGTCTTGGACGCAGAAGTCTGTCTTTACAAGTGTGATTGATCAACTCCCCGTTTTCCATTCTTTCCCAGCTCATCCATTTTAGGAAGCTGCTGGCACGTCAGGGGTGCAGGCGAAGAACGAGTTTGGTCGAAGCACCATGTACCAGAATTTTTAAAAAGACAAATATCTAATAGTGAATTTAGGACGTAAACATGTTAAACTTCGAAGGCCGGCTCATCGCGTATTGTAACCTCCCTGCAGGCTAAATAAGGTGATCGGTCCAGCAGAGCTCGGTGGGCAGAGCTTAGCACAAACACTACCAGGAATACCCTGTGCAAACCAAAACTGTTTACGCTCACGGTGCAAAACAGAAAATCCATCAGCTGGCTAATGTTTGATCTGTCGTTTGTTAGCAGATGTGTCAAAACTAGACTTCAAAAGAAGCTGTTTTGTCAGACTTTGTGCTGTAAACTAAATCCTCCACGTCATTTGTTGGTCATTTTCATAATCAGTTCTTCAGTTTGTAACCTGTAGCCTGATGCACTGACTTTCTGGAGTCATCAGCTGCCGTTGCCAGGCAACCAGTGTAGAATCCAGGAAATCACTGTGCTGCACTTTAACATTTCTGATTTTTTCTTTTTGTAGACATGTTAATCTGCGGTGCTGGTTTGCAGATGTTTGAACTTTCAGACTGTTCCCGACCAGTTCTTTTTCTTTTCTTCCTGTCTTCAGCTTCTTTTTTTTTTTTTAATGCACAGACATGAGGAGCATCCATCCTCTCATCTAACTCGCAGCAAGAATCAGATACTGTCCTTTAATTTTCTGCTGCTTGACGAACAGAATTAAAAATTGCGACATACAGTCTTGGTAAATGTGTGACTCTGGACACTTTATAGCTGACTTACGATGATGAAATAGTGATTAATGTTCAAACATCGCTCAATAAATCATTTTCAGATGATTTTCAAGACATAAAATAGCATAAAAAGTACTTCAATAACCGTGTTTCTATGTGAAGAAAACTCAGAAGAAAGTCACAAAAAAGGAAATTACATGTTAGCCTAGTTTCCATGAACTGCTTTGGAACAAATAAACCAGGCTGCATAGCATCGCCAGAAGGTGGCGCTACACGCTACGCCCTCATGCACGGCTGTAATAAACATAGTAGAAGAAGTCAGTTGTTTGCCAACCAAACAAGCAAACAAAACTTTGCTCATATATCAGTGAAAATAGAAGTCTTCAGGAAGTGTTTTAATCAGGGAAGTCAAAGACAATGAAAGAAGCAGCTGATCAGTCATGCGTGTTAAATATTCGTTAGATCAGAACTTATTCTGAAAAGATGTTTCAGTCTCCTATTATGTAAATTAGCTCTTTCAAAAAAAGCACCTCAAGTGAGTGCAAATTGTGTCATTTCACTTTTTTTCCAAAGCTGCTCTTCAGAATATTCATAAACACACGTTATGGAACCACGACTCCTGACATCTGCTCCTTCTTACTTATTAAAAAAAATCTATAAATATTCAAATATTTGTCATCTGTGAAGTGTAACCGTCGCAAACAAGATGTTTCCGACTTCACTGACAGCCGTTTCTTAGTGTTCGAGCTCTGGAGGTTTAAAGTTTCCACATCGCACTTGTGGACCATAATTGGCTTCCAGACTAGTTGTGCTGCCACAAAAGCCTCTTGTGCACTCAGAAGTTAAGGTGAAACTCTCCTCTGTGAGCAGATGAAGGTGAAAACAGCCTTCTAGTGTCAAACATCAGTCTGTACAGTGGATTATTTGGACTGGAGGGGGACTTTAGGTTGCAGTATTTGTACAAGTTCATAGAGAAAATCGTTTTGGGCTGAGATGTTACCTGCAGGCTGCCTCTGGGACAGTACTCGGTGACGATGCAGATGTTGGGAGGGTCGATGCAGGCCCCGATGAACCTGGTTAGATGGTTGAACTGAACGTCTCTCATCTGAAAATAACCACACAAACACACTGCAACTGTGAGTGCAGCTCTTTCCAAACATCACATTCCCAAACCCCATGGAAACAGAGGACGGGGAGGGAGGGAGGAGAGCACTGACGGCTCATTTATATACAAAGTTTTGAGAATAACGCTGCCAACAGTTCATCAAAATAGTCTATTTGCAGTCTACTAGCTGGCACTGTGTCTTTTTCTACGTGTCGAGACGCATTCCTGCTCAGGGCACCCGGTTGAAACATGTGCATGTGCATAAATTTGCCCTTGGAGGTTATGAATGAGCCAGTGTGCAGAGGACGGCGAGGGAAAAAAAAAAAGGTGTTGAGAGGATGGACGAGCAGGAATATCAGAGCGAAGCAGGCAGGATGTGTAGCAGCGCACTGGTTTTTACAATATGAAGCGTCTCCCACAGCGTGAATCATCACTTAGAATGTAAAAAAGACTGAAAACAGACGTTTGAGGCTAAGTGATTAAGAGGGAACATTTTCTGGCCGCTTGCTTTTGTGAAGAAACAATCATTTTCCTCTACAGAAACGAGCTACATGAGTGTTATCCTCGTGCCTACACTGCAGCCGGCGTGAAACTTCAAAAAACGGCGTTCGACATTTCAACAGTGTGCTTTTCTTCTTAGAGCCCACTGAGTGACAGCGGCTCCCACACCAAAACCAGGGAGTTAGCCGCTCCTGTTTCATGGCTTGGGAGATGTTAGCCTACCCTTTGGCCTATATAATTTCCCCTGCTGCACACTGGCGAGGGGAGGGAGGAGGAGGAGGAGGAGGAGGAGAGCTGGAAGACAAGTGGTTAAGTTTCCACTGGCAGCCCTGTCTCTTCCCCCCATCTGGTTGGCTTTTTCATGAGCTGAGGTTTGACAGCCGATCAGGCCCGCGGGGCTTCTGAGAGGCTGCCAGCTCAGACAGCAGCCTCCCTCCCCCGTGAGCCCGCCGACTGACCGAGAGGCCGCAGAGGCATCCAAGAAGCCCCTCGCCTCCGTCGGACTGCACAAAAACACAGCGAGAATGCGAGTGGAGATGTTCGAATGGCCAAAATTCCTCTCCACCGGCATCCATCTTCTTCGTGACCACCGGTGTAATTCCCGGGTTATGGGTTTCCCTGTGCCACACTGTGTTTCCATCACCAAACCACATAAATTGTGAGATTTTTTTTTTTTCCTTCGCCCGGCTTCCTTATCGCTCACTTGTAAATATTTCCCAGACGAAGAGATCTTTTCATCAGCGGTGTTTAAGGACGTGAACTCGAGCAACATCCTGCGAACAGCCCCCTTGTGAACATGCTAATAATAAACCAGCTCTTCCAAAAAGCTCCAAAACATAGAAGATAATGATTTTAATGTTCTGCTAAATCAGAAGAAAAAAAAACCCAAAAGTTCCATTTTTCATTGAGGTGTTTTGTAAAGCAGGCAGAGTTTATGAAGGACTTTGAATTGTAGCTCAAGAACATCAGTTAATGTTTGTTTTATATAAGCGAGTGAACAAATGATTAGATAATGCAGCTTGTTGAGTTGAAGGGTTGTTTTGTTTAATTTAATTCTCCCCCAAGGTCTGAGCGCATGGCCCTCTTCACCCTCTTCACACAGAGGCCACTCAAGGCACTCAGAACCAACAGCACAAGCCAACCAGATGCATTTCATGGCCAAGTACATTTACAGTCTGTGCAGCTGCTATCTCCCTCAAATTCAAAAGTGCTCGATGAAACAAATAAGAATTTTAGAGACACTCAATAATAGTGGAGCAGGAAAGAAACTGTCCCAAGGCTGGTATAAGAGGAAAAATCACGAGGCTGTTAGAACCAAAGCGGAAACCAAAAGCTGCAGTTCCTCCGTTGGCCACTTGAGGCTGACTCCAAAAACAAGTCAATCCCATTGACCCCCATGTTAAAATGCCCAACTTTACAGCAGAAATAAACTTGTTTACAGCCTGGTACCAAAGACGGTTTTGAGCTCTTAGCTTATTTTCCCATTTATGGCAACTGCAATGTAAATTTTTGTATCACACACCAAATGAAATTGCATTAAATCTTAAATTCAGGCATATTAAGGGGTCAACAAACTAACGTGAGACTTCAGATATCCTCTTGGCAGCATGGATAAGCTCACAAAACTATTTCTATTTAAGTAATTCCATTAAGTGTTGATATTTTCTGCAGAAATTTCAACCATATTGTGGCACCAGCAGAGCAATGACCATCAGGGTTCGTCCTCTGAGGAGCAGAATATACAACACATTGGCGGCCAACTAATATTATGACATCCTATTCCTTAAACCTGCAGAGATGAACCATCGACATTTTATATTTTAATCTGATGTAGCGAACCTGTTAGCAGACTCTATGTACCTTGGTCATGGTAACACAAGCATCAAGCAATGATATAATTAAGTTGAAAATCCTTTTAATCACTAATTTTTCATGTCTTCATGAGTTTGTTCATCTGTGGACTCTAAGCGCCCTTCTAGTTTGTATTTCTGTATGTATCCATATACTTAAATATAATATATATATTATACTGTGTTTTGGTCTTTCTGCCATTTTGTGCTGAGCAGGTAGCGTACGGTGGGTTTTAAAACTCACTGGTGTGGTCGGAGTCAACGCTAGTGAGAAAAACTGACACAAACCAGTAAAGTTATTGGTCACAAAACCAAAACGATGAGCTGGAAGATGCCGAAATTCTCTTCAGAGCTGTTCATCACGACAATCAAACCATTCGTGCTGTTGTTATTACAAAAAGTATTTATCGCTCCAGCTGTAATAACCAAATATAGCAGCTGTCTACCCATTACATATCGACGTTTCTTTGGCACAACTCGGCTGGACGGGTGGCACTAACAATAATATAATAACTGTATTTGTAGAACTGTGGAAAAGCGGTTAAACATAGAATATGAGGGAGGAATAAAATTACACAGCGAACAGGAAAAACACATAAAATGAGATGAGAATAATAAATTAAATAACATAAAAATGCAGTCCAGGAAATGTAAAAATTTTCCATTAAAAGCCAGTTTAAGAGCTTTGTTTTTAGAAAGAAAACACACGGATCCAGCCGCCCTCGTACAGTTTGGGGCTTAGTGGGTCAGAACTATTGCTCAGAGACAATCCTGTTACTGTAATGCCTAATGAGTGATTAATAGGATTTTGAACTTTATTCAGTAAGCAATTAGAAACCCATGAAAGGATCCTAAAAGTGGAGCAATGTGTTCTCCTCTCCGGACCGACTGCAGATGATTTTTCAGTCTGTGCTCAATAATTAGACAAGTTACACACATGGTTTCCCCTTTTTCTCTTTTAAAATCACAATCGAGGGTCTAATAACGGAGTGCTGTACGGTCTCTGAAGCCCTTTGACACAGCAGGAGCTTTGACTTTATACCTAAATAACATTGCTCAGATGCCACTTACACAAAATTATTGAATCAGTTACGCAGTAGAACACAGATTTGGACATTTAACAAACACTCACATGCTTGAGTTCCAGTAAAACTTGTCTGGTCAGCTCTATCCTCTTCTTGTTGACGTGCTTGATGGCCACCAGGTTTCCCTGCAAGCAACACGAGAGGACAGATGACACTGATGTCCAGATCAGTTTTTATTATGTGAAAGCAAACCTCTAGATGTAAAAATGACACCAGACAATATAAGGCACAAGCAAAAACGGTGAAACTGAAGCATTCAGCGGAGAGAACAGCGGCCTACAGGCACATTCAGGGGCCTCTTACAGTCGGCCTGCAGAAGAACAGGAGTCGCATGTGCTGTTTGCCATGTGACGATCAATAAACGGAGGAAGCAGGGTGAATTCCTCAGATGTGACAGACGAGAGAAAAATGCTGTCGTAGCAGCTGTGAAACAAGACCGACTGTTCCTGAGTGAGTCCATGTGGGTGTTTTAACTCTTATTCAATATGAAGCACAAAGCAAGGAGCTGATGATGGCTGCGTGTTTGGAAGTCGGAAACTTTTTTAGCAGAATAAAAACACTCCTTTTTTTTTTTTCTAGTGTTTGCAGGTTGCTGAGACTCTCATATCTCTCTGCGCTTGTGCTTCGGTATCAGATTTAATCACCTCCTGTATTGAATTCGAGCAGCGCCTCTGATAGTCCTCGAGATGTTCGAGCCGCACAGTGACATCAGCGTTTTACATAAAAAACCTGCATCACTCAGCTAAAATCGAAGCCAGCCATCTCATTATTCAGCCTCTTTTTTGTCACATTTCCTCACACCTCCTCCGTCTTAAACGGATAAATTAACAGCAGCAACAAGTTGATGGCCATGTCCAGACTGCGAGGCGGGAGTGTAGAAACAGAGAAAGAGAGAGAGAGAGAGAGAAAAAAAAAAAGAAGAAAATTGACGCATTCTGCAGCTCGCATTAAAACCAACTACCTAAATTCGCCCACACTCTCTCTCTCTCTCTCTTTCTCTCTCTCCTCTCCAGCTCTCCGGCTTTCTCTCTGCGAGTGTTGCACATGTGTGGGTGGGAAAGGAGTGCGCAGGAGTTGAAAATGTCAGAACTCGCTTAAGCCTTACCTTAAAATAGCCCGTTTTTGCAAATAGCTGATATTTTCCATGGGCAGTTATCAAGGAGCCGTAGCTGGAGCCTCTCTGAGAAGGTGGAAAAAAAAAAGAAAGAGTAGTGAGGAGAAAAAAAAATGTCAGTCAGAGTGTGTAGATTAGAGCAAAGAGGATTAAATCATGTTCAAATAAAACTGTGCTTCTTCCACTCCACTGCAGCGTATATTCTCAAACATCTGAAATAAACGTCTCTGCACGACATGAAATTGCCTTTTTTTTTTTTTTACTTATATTTTGAGAAAATAAAGTGTTTTCCAGCTCGAGTCCTTGGGCGAATGTCTGCAGTGCACACAGAGTGAATAAAGAAAATAAAAAAATAGAAAAAAATCAAGTGGGCTGCACACAGACAGCCAGCACAGTGGACTACACATTTGTATAGAATGCAAATATTGGCAACACATGGCACGCTGGAAAATACATGGGTTTGGAAAATGGCTGTGTTTTCCGCGCACACATTATCCCAGGAACCGGACCGAAAGCCAGTAATGAAAAAGGTGTGTGCATGTGCTTCTCATGAACGCTCGCACGTGTGGGATGAAACACAACCCAGAAGGAGATGCGTTTAGTCCCTCAGACAACAGAACCCGATACTCCAGGAACGTGATGAGGTATTATATACGTGGGGATTGGGGCCAGGCGAGAGCTTATTTTAACAATCATTTAATATGCCACTGCAAAAAAAAAACAACAAAAAAAACAGCCACCTTCAATAAACCACTGGGAAAGCTTTCAGGAATGTGTAAACTCACAAAGGATTTGGAACCTTTCGGAGCTGCAGCTTTGCTTTTCCTTAGAAAAACCACACAAACTGCATTTTAATACACAGCACACAGTGTGTAAACCAGTGTGCACTTCAAATTAGCATTTTCGATTCCTGGTGGGTCCAATTTAAACAGCAGTGACATCTCCAGACTGATAATAATGTAAACAAAGTCGTGTATGAATGAAAACTGTGCACCCAGTGTTGAGTCTTTCCTGCTGGCAAACGCAGCAAAGCAAACTGCCAGATGAACAACTTGTTAATCACACATGGGAGGCTGTGCCAGGAACACTGATGGAATAAAATGCGATATAAAGCTCAGCATTATGAAGAAAGGTTCACGGCTGCCAGATTTAATATGAGATCATGTGGGTGTCGCCTCACCTGCACATTTAGCATTATGTTAGTTTTTTTTGTCTTTGGCCACAGTGCAAGTACATAAATGTTGTGGTAGCAACAGCATTGTTCGAGATCTTCTACCTGCGAGAGGGTTAGCCGGCTGCCAGCCCGTTTGTGGTATTTATTGGGGCTCTCAAACTGAAGGTCCTCCCACCGAATCCTCCACAGCATTCCAGCCAGCTCTTTCTCCAGCTTCAGTTTCCTGCGAAAAGCAAAAACCAGGTGGTGAAGTCAACAAGGACACAGCAGCACAAAGGCCAGAACTATCGCACAGAAAGCGGACCGAGCGTTGAGGTTGCTGCAGAGGTCGTGGGCTGATGTTTTTACCACAGAGTAACAAAGGAATGAATAAAAGTCCTTGAGAGGGAAGGTGGACTGTCCACCCGTGGCTTTATTCGGAGGAATTAGTGTATGAATTTTTAATGGATTTAATCTAGCAAGTCACCTCAAACAAAGAGAAAATGTGCTCCATTTGCTTTGTCACTTTTGATTTCCATTTTCTGGTGGTATTTCCTAAAATACTGATTATAGCTGGCTTCACGTCCAGTGTTTAAATGTAGTTCTGTTCGTTTGATGATGCCTGCACCCTTAAATTAATCTTTGCTGGCCTAATGTTCTACTTATGGAAGTTTGATAAAGTTGTGAACTACTTTTTTTTGGAGTATTTCTACTGTCTTTAACAAAGGATTCTTTATTTAAAACAATTAGTGAAATATGGAACAACCAAATGGCAACCTAAAACTGCAATTCCACAAATGTCCACTTGAGGCAGCCTCCAAAAGCTCCAAAAGAGTCAATCCCCATGTTGATTTTATTCAGCTTTACAGCAGAAATAAACAAGTTAACAGCCTGGTACGAAAGCGGTTTTGGTCTCTGTCACTAATTTTCCTGTTCATGGCAACTGTACAAGGGCGAAATATTCATACAGCCCATCAGCTGAAGTTGCATTAAGGCTTAAAGTTAAGTGGCAGGTGGGCAGCTACACTTGCGTTCTACCTGTCTCTCGTTTATCGGATTAACCAGCAGCTAGCAGGAATCAGGCACTGCCAAGACAGCGATGGCTGAAGCCACCGTACGGAGTTTCAAAACTACCATTCAGAAAATGTCAGAGGGTTCATCCAACTTTACATACAGTCAGTGGGAACATTTGACAACAAAGACGTAATTTAGTAAAATCAGATGATCACAGCCATTGATTTAACCCATAAAACCTTCACCTTTGTGTATCAAAGTTAGAAGTTTTTCTATTAAAATAATCCCCTTGCTGCCCTAAAATGGCTCAGATATAACTCCACACTGTTGCTTCCTCTAGAACACCTACGCCTCTGCTCCAACACCATAAAACTACTCGATGACACAATGGTAAGTTTTAATACGGGAGTAATCCAGTCATACAAAACCAGAAACTGATTCTGAAGAACAGTGATGGCACAGAAAGTCCCACACTGTTGGTTAACAGGACTGGTTTGTTGGAATTGTACGTATAAAACCCCAGAAGTCTAAATCCATAAAAACACAATGGACATGTTAACACGGTGGGAAAAAATGGTCTCACTTGAGGGAGTTTGAACTCTTATAAGAAGCTTCTAGTACTTATTGTGACCTGAAATGATGAGTTGATTGAATGCCATTCTGAACATTCCTTAAACATTTTAAATTAAGGTTGTTTCATCCCCCTGATCTTACTGTATTTGAGGTAAAACTCCCTTATATCCTCTACTTGAAGTACAGGTACATTATTGTTCTAATGTCTTTTGTTCTATAAAAAAAAAACAAAAAAACATTGATAATCATGATTAGAGTCCATTTCAGTTCAGTTAATTCTGCTATCTTTAATTTTAACAAACGTACTTGATGGACTCACGTGTCCTAACCTTAACTCAGTGCTAACACTGACACAAAAACAGTTCCCAATTGTTGTAAGTAGCAATAAAAGTTGTTATTGCGACTTACATCATGTTTTTACCAAAGCATCATTATGCTTTATTTCGCTGATTAAAGTTAATCGGGGTAGATTTTGCCATTAAAAGAGTGGTCATTTTCAAAAAGTGCTGTCCAATTAAGTCAATAATCGTCATCATAGCATCATTTCCTCAGATATTATACAACTAGCGACAAGAAAACAGCATTAGAAACCATGGCTTTGGCACTGGAAACAGTGAAAAACCAGTATAAACCCACTGTCAAGTGATGGAAAGCTTAACACAGTAAACCACAAAGTAGACAAGAGAAACTCGGTGTGACGTTTTATAGTGAAAAAAGCATTAGCGGTGAAGTGATTAGCGATTATGTTGCTCACCTGGGTAATGTTAAAATAATGGAGTGGAATGGTCTGTCCAGGATGTCTAGTGATAATCATTTAGACTGCATTAGCTGCTAAATGCCACTAAATCATTAGCCACTAATAAGAAGTGGCTGTATTCTGACTAGGCATGGGAATCGGTGTCTTGCCTTTTTGCGTGTAAAAAATAAGAGTTTGGCGAGTCGTCCCGGCTCTTTGCATGGACAGATTTAATTACTGAAATGGAAACTCAGCCCAAGCAATGAAAAACTAGTGTAACGGGCATGTTTAGCGAAGATGATACTCTCACTGGACAACTAATAAACTCCAAAACAAACTAAAGGACAATTTAAACACACAAGGGAATAGATTTTATATATGCAATATTATTCTGGCCCTCGTGTCCTAACAGATATCTGCTAAAACAGAGCTAAAACCAGTGCTTCCATTCATTTAAATGCTGGTTAAAGATCCATTTGACACAAACAACTGCTGCAACCTACTTAACTGACACAGGTGATTTTATTTTTTTTTCTTTGCAAATGACATGATCTAAATACTGAACGTCCTGGTGTGAAAATAGTAGACTTTAAGTTTCAATTATTGACATATAAATGAAGGTTTAACTGGGAGAAAGACTCCTGAAGCGATTGTGACACAATCTACCTGAGATTAGATACAACACAACAGACGAGTTCACTTTGGCCTGACATCAAATCAGTGGTAGAATGGATGGTATTAAGCCTATATGGCCTGTTTTTCAAGACTGTGGTGTTTTCTCTTTTGCTTGCTTCAACTTAAACCTATCCCTAACTCCAACCAGTGATGTCTGTGTAGATTCTCAGCCATCCAGGTCACGGTAGTCCCAGGAACTTCCGTATAAGGCAATTGGATGTCTCCTTTTGGTTGTTTCACCTTCATCCAAGTGGCTTCTCCAGTCCTGAACTAAAGCTCAGTTGAGTTTTGAACAAAAGAAACCTGGTGGATGAAGGTGAAACATCTTCAAGAACCAAAAAAAAAACACAACGACCAATTGCCTTCCACTGAAGCTCTTATAGGTCCAACCAGTTATCTGAGCTATACCAACCCTGTCTCTACAATATAACCTTCCCATACTGCTAAACTGCATTCTCAAATGTGTTTTGAAGGGAACATGATTTTGGTCTGATATCAACATGATTTAAGATCTGTGATGTGGTGAGAAAGGTGGCAAGTTTGAAAAGACAACCACCTTATGAGGTAGGAGGGCTGGTTGGTGACATAAACCAGTAATCAACCCAGAACACCAATGTCTGAGTTCCGTGATGGACCAGAGAGCATTAGTGTAAGAATTAGGTTTTGTTTTTTGTCATTTACTTTTGGTTTTCAATTGCTTTCTGGTTGGGTTTAGGAAAATATCACGGTTTGTTAAATCAACAATTTCCCTGAGGTACCCCACCAAAGGGACCAATAAAGTTCTATCTTGTCTAATCTAATCTAAATACTTTTATACATGCATCTTTAGGCACCAAAATCACTTGGTTAGTGTGAAGAAAGATGTAATAAAATACGACCTGTTCACTACATGTTTGAAGCGTTTGGTCCATTTTCTGGGTTACCACAATGACAAGTCCCCCCCATCTAATATACGATTCTTTGGCTGAAAGAGAGCGACAGTAAAGCAGTAAAATACTCGGCAAAGACACGTTGATTAGAAACATATTTGTGATGCATTACAAACAACCCTAATCCGGCAGAAGACCGTTTCCTTCAAAACATATTTCAGAGTGCAGGTTAGCTGTATAGAAGCATACATGTGGACACTTGGTTGGATATGTACAACTAAAATCTAAGAACTTAAAAACCAACCTCTGTTGTTCTAAAGACGTTTTCACATTACAGTGGAAGGTTTTGCGCGAAATGTTCTGCACTGGTCGCCAAACTGTTTACCACCCTGACTCTCCTGATTGTCATAACCATAAATAGTGCCATCTTAGCGACAGTGCTAATGCCACTAACCACAGATTGCTCCAACAGTGTTTTTGTAGCAGGCCTCATCTGCCCCAATACCAATCCTTAAGATTGGTTTGGAAAATCCCTAGTTGTGACCGACAACGGGGATCTCGGTTAAACCCAGCTGAGCCTCCTTCATGACGCTAACATCAACTGGTGCTGCTGTAACCAACGAAACAAAACTGATGTTTAAATGCCATTTAGCTGGTGAAAGAATACAAAACTGAAGGAGATAAAAATAGAATGCGTGGACACAAGGGTGCAAAAGGACAGACTGGGAGGAAAAAACCTGACTGCTATCTGGTAATTATATAGAGCTGCACTGCACATTTAGGTCTGAGGCAGGGTGCAATTACATTATGAACGGGTGTAATAAAGGTCTAATGTACATTAAATGGACTCATTAATGACACTATCTGGTGGTATAGAGGAGGTTAAAGTTAAAATTGGAGTTAGGTTATGTTGGGTTCAGAATATTTTGTCAACAGGTTGTGGAATAATTGGCTAATTGTGGTGTCATCTTCCAAATAATGCACTTAGGAGATCCATCATTCAGTCAGATGCTACATGGTGCATTATGGGTGGATGAAATAAAGCAGATATGGATAGAAACTGCTCCGCAATGTCAAACAACCTCCACTTATCCGCACAGCTGAACCAGCGCAATTAATCTGATCGTTTTTCGACATATTTTGAGTGTTATTTTTGATCAGACAGCACTGAGAGGAAGAAGCATTCCAGCGCATCAACACATCTGGAGCAAATCTCACAGGAGCTGCTGTTTCTTGACACTTAATGATTTGCAGCAGAAACACATTCAAAAAATAAAACTCACACTGTTTTCAAAAACCCAGAGTTATTAAAGCTTGTTTTTGTTTGCTTTTTTTTTTTTTTTTTTCCTTCAGTAGGGTGGTAGCGGATTCATTTTCAGTTTGAAACACTTGGAAATGAAAAATGAGCAGAGCCCACACATTCCAAGCCAATCTAAAAGGTGTAAAACACTTCCAGATGGCTGCAGGAAATTATTGCAGCGTTTGCATATCACCAGCCTTTTTCCCCCCGCAACCATCCCAGCCGGCCCCAAAACTGTCTCGTAGTTTGTTTGTTTTTTTAATTTCTTATGCCGCTTTTTCACCAGGACAAACCAGAGACTTAAAGGAGATTCTTAATCTCGTTTGTGTTTGCAGAAACTCCAAGGCCGTGAGCATTTTGAGTGCAGGAAACACCGTTAAACCGCCGGTGCCCTCCAGCCCCATCCACCACCAGCAGCAGAAAAAAGAAAAGAAGGTACTTTTCTATTTAAAGAGCCTCGTTTAGAGACCTCTGGCAGCCAGAGGGGCAAAGTGTGGAGCTCCACACTGGGCCTATTGTTTCATAAGTCCCATTTGTGAATACCTCAGCTGGACCAAACCCCTCCATTAAAACAACAGAGCCACTGCCGCTCTGCTCAACATCCCCTCACACTCCAAAGTCAACCGAGAACGCGCCGCCGTCCAGATGCTTAAAGTGCTGCGGGACAACATTTAACAATCACCGCATGAAAATCATTTTATCGTGACAAAGCGTGCACACTGGAAAAACATCTTTGTCCTCGCGAGTCTTAAAATATTACACCTCCTCTGAGAGCAAACCTGTGTTGCCTACTTCTGTCTTCTTTCAGTTACTCCCTGATCTTCTTTTTAAGAGGAAAAATATGCTCGAAGGCAAAATTTGAGGAATAATGACTCGTTTAAATGGCTTGTTGCAGTGCAGATGTTTTTTGTCAAAGCAATACAAAGAAGCAGATGATTCAGTACACAGGTTTCCTTTTTATTAAATTGCATATTCACCAAATTTTACGCTGGCAGAAGAATAATCTATTGTCAAACCTCATAACCCAGCCACCCTAATACAAAGTATATAGCAGTAATTTCACAGGACAGGGCTTCTTTGACTAGATTTATTTTGTGTTTCTTAGCCATTATTCGTTACCCATGAACTAGATTTAAATCCCCAAAATGTACCTTTTACTAGAAATTACAGATTTAATTAATCTGAGTATAAAATATTTGGTTGTATGCATGAAAAAATAATCGTACAAGCAGCAGTAAATATATAATCTTCTTTTTTTCTTATTAAAAATATAAAAATTTCATATCTTAGCTGTGTAAATTGCACCTCAAAGTTGAGAAACCCTGCATCTGAGCGTGTGGACTGACAGTGACAACACTCCAAACTGTTTTAAGCATCTTAGTGGTGTTTTTTTGTGGGTCAAGTAGCGAGAACGGAGGAAACGCTCAGCAGCTGGTGGATCTTTAAGACGGCTGTAAACAGCACTGCTTTTCCGCCTCTCCGTCCATCAGCAGAAAGCTCCACTGGTGTCTGCGAAAACAGGAAGTGATTTGTTAGCCTTCGGTATCAAAGCGAGCCGACACACTAGAAGCTCTAATCCCCGCTGATGCTGAGCTTTAGGCAGGAGGTTTACATTTACGGCTTCGTGGAGTTGAGAAGCATGAAGCTGCCTCTCAAATCCAATAAAAACCTCCAGCAGCTTTCCATATATACATATATATATAAAACAGTCACTAAATGAATCTAAATATAGCCGGAAAGTTCAAAACTGCAGGTCAGGACCCAAAAATGCATCACAAAGTTCCCCCTGTTAGATTCCCATAACAGAAATAGACACTTGTTGCCGTAAGTTCCAACATGTTATACTTGGACCCCATTTAAAAAAGAAATTCCAAGGAAAGAAACTCACCGGCTGAGAGTCCAGGAAAACTAGTTAACTAGCTGGGAAACCAAGCTGCGTTTGCTGAGCTGTGAGCTGCAAGCAAAAAAAAAAAAAAAGCAGTGAAGGAAGTGTTAAATATTTCCGAACTAAGTGCAAAAAAAACAATGTGTCCAATTATCTGCTGGTTATTTAATTACTGGGCAATGATCAACTCAGGCTTAGTGGATTTACCTCACGTGGAAAGCTGCTCCTCCGTCTTTCTTCCACCAATCCTCTGATCAAAATCCATTCTGATTGGCTGCTGATTAACACTCGTTGGTGTTAATGGTCAGTATTAGAAAAGTAATCAGATTACTGGCGTGATTTGTTAGTTAGCATCATCGGCTCCTCTTAGAGTCAAATGTGTTTATTAGTCGAGAACATCATTAACCAGATTTATACGGAGAACTTTGAAGAGAAACAGGGAAAAATAGGAACATTATTTACTTCAGTTTCATGCAGATATTACCCATGACATTAAGTGGGGGTGTAGAAATCCTTCTTTAATTACTTGGGGCATGCATGATTTACTTCTGGAGTAATTAAATGAGGCTTAATGCTACAACATAAACATGTAGACTGCGCCACTTGGGACGCCGTAACTATTTCATTCAAATTTGTTTTTACAGCTGAACGCCGAGTTAGAACCATTAGAGAAGCAGCAGGCAATTATTTTTATCTTAAACATACAGCTGAAGTAAACTGCAGGGGGGGCGGCCACATTAACTATGACTTATTTAACCTAATTACATGTCAAGTCCCAGTTTTTCTCGCAGTGAATGGCATGCACAGCAGCGTGAGACGCCACCTGTGATGTTGTGACCTGATTTTGATTAGTTATTGGAATTAAACAAGCTCAGAGGAAAGTTATTTTTAATCTGTCGTTGAATCATACAAAATCTGAGCCAGCAAATTCCCTTTACCCTCAGTGTCAACCTTATTTATTTGTATTTCTGACATATTTTTTGAGCTCCTTCCCCTAATTGGGGCCCTGAGCACTTACTTCCACCCTCCCTCTCAAGAATGACTTCATTTCTCGCTGTGTAAATGTTTGTTTTTGCAGAAATCAGGCGTCTTTGTGCTTCCTCCTAATAGGATTTTACGGGGGATTTATAAGCCAAACCTGCAAACTAACATGTAATCCTTTCAGGAAAGAAAAAAAAAACAACAACAACACACAACCCCACCAGACCCATGTTTTTCCACCTGACATCAGCAGTGTGTGAATTATTAAAAAATAAGTGGCATTCAACCTTTAATCCAGCGCAAAGGAACGAGAGCTAATGAACACGCTAATGAGCACTAAGCGAGAGTTGTTCGAGGCCAGTTCGTGAGCTCACTTGGCAGCTCGCGACACACTTCACCGCTGCTTTAATGCCATCACCTGCTGAGCTGTTACTGTGGCAACAATCGTGTAAGCATGCACCGGCACCTATAGCAGCACCATGCGTGAATCCTGCTTCAAACGCGTGTCTGTCTCACACTTTTCTTGCTCTTTTTCTGTCTGCTTTTGAGTAAAATAACGAGAGAGAGAAGAAAAAAAAAAAAACAACCCATCTCTGCAGCACAGCGTCACCCAACTCACCTGTAAATCAGGAAACTGGAGATTCCAAATATGATAAGCGCTAAGCCAGAACCCACAGCTACAATACCCAGAACTGGCAGATGACCTGGAAACAGGAGGAGAGAGAGAGAGAGAGAAAAAAAAAAAACAGCATTACACGCTCGGCGGCTTCTCATATGTTCAACAGATGTCCACGTTCATATCTTTGAAAATGAAGAAAAAAAGTGTGATGTGAAGAAACACAGCTGTGACTTCCTGAAGTGCAGCTGCAGCGCTTTAGCAATCTGTCAAACCGCAAACACCGGCAACGATTTCACACAATCACACCGCGCCGCCGACGCTCCTCATGTATATTTAAAGCCCTAATGGAGACCAATTATACCACCTGCTGTAAATCAGCGGGTAAAGCTGATTCTCATGATTAGAGATGTATCATTTCTGACACTGATCAACTCCAGACAGCGTTCCACCTCGCTGCATTCGTAAAACAGTCAAACCGAAGATTTCTAACTTACTGGCAGTTAATGTAAGTTACATTCTATTTGCAGGATTTAGGTTTGGTTCATAGCGTTGCATAAACAATCAGAAAACACATCAGGTCTCCAGATTTTAACGTAGTTAGCGGATTTGTTTTTTTAAAGTAGTGATCAATAAATGTTCTCATTCAGTATCACCTCTTCTGTATGACCTACAGTCGTACTGCAGCCTGGATCACACTCACACATGCTGTTACAGGAATTGTCTTTTTAAAACACAGTGACACTCATCATTTGAAAAGTTCCAAAAAACATCCATCCATCCATCAATACATCGCTTAATCCTCACTAGGGTCGTGGGGGGCTGGAGTCTATCCCAGCTGACTCAGGGTGAAGGCAGGAGACACCTGGACAGGTCACCAGTCTATCACAGGGCTACACTTAGAGACAGACAACCAAGCACACTCACATTCACACCTACGGACAATTTAGAATCACCAATTAACCTCAACATGTTTTTGGACTGTGTGGGAGGAAGCTGGAGAGAAGAACGCTGCACGGGGAGAACATGGAGACTCCACGCAGAAAGATTCCAGTACCCCCACTGGGACACGAACCGGCAACCTTCTAGCTGCGAGGCAACAGTGCTACCAACTGCACCACGCTGCCGCCCATAAAACATACTGAGGAATTATTTTAAGGTTATAGTTTTTGGCATTAAATTGTGGAGCTCCTTTCAACAATATTAATGCCCCTATTAAAGTCCCTATTTTATTTTGGAATATCAGCAACATATTTCACTCTATTTGGGGGCATAAATTATAGAAATAATAATAAAGTGTTCAAAATGGAAACCCAAACCCCCCCAAAGCGGTCCTTTGAAGAACCTTTCTGAGGAGTTAGGAACTATTTTGAAGGTTCCTTCACAGTGACAACGGTGAGGAACCCTTAAAAGGTTCCTTGAGGCTTTTCTATTTCTAAGAGTGTACCGAGCATTGACACTCATTGTATAGTCATCGCACAGACATGAGTGCATATAAATACAGTAAAAAATAAGAAATATTAAAGGAATGGGTCAGAATGTTCCTATTGTTTCCTACTAGGAGGGACATGAATGGTAGCAGCTCCCCACCCAGGCCAGCAGATTCAGTTGGCATTTTAATACATACTAAGCATGAATTACTGATAAATAAAATGAAGAAAAACACGTTAAAACACAAAAATAAATCACTACAATAACTAACCAGAAGTAACCTACCAACAATCTATAAAGATGTATATCTGAACCAGACTTTGTGACAATCCACCCAAAAACTGACATTGTCCTAGAGCAGGGGTGTCCAGTCCTGGTCCTCGAGGGCCACAATCCTGCATGTTTTAGATGTTTCCCTCTTCCAACACACCTGATTCAAATGATCAGCTCATCATCATCAAGCTCTGCAGAATCCTGATAATGATCCTGATCATTTGAATCAGGTGTGTTGGAAGAAGGAAACATCTAAAACATGCAGGATTGTGGCCCTCGAGGACCAGGATTGGACACCCCTGTCCTAGAGTCTACTGCTTGGTGGTGCTCGAGTAAAAGTCACGGGATCATCAGGGGTTTATCCTCCTAGGACCATGAATGTCTCACCAAAGTTTCAACGGCAACAAACACTGCAATCTCCTGGGGCCAAAACAACCAACGTGTCCGTCTGAACAGCACTTCTGTGGAGCATCTTGAGCTAATATAGCAGGAATCGTCCTCCCCTCGCCCCAGCTGGCTGAGGCAGATGGCTAACCTACCTGGGCCTGGCTCTGCCGGAGAGTTTTTCCCGTTAAAACTGAGCTATTTTTTTCCCATAACTCAAAGTGGTTATTAGGTTTCTCTGTATCACACAATATTGTAAGATCTTGGCTTTATGGTGTGAAGTGCCCTGAAATTACATCCTCAGTGACAATGTGGACAATCAGAGTCTTGCTGCTGAACCGAATCTTGTTAATACAGTTCCAACTTCACTGATGTACCTGATATGCTAAACCTAATTACTGATTATTTCCAAAGTGCTGTCCCCAGTGTTTTGTTTTACTGAATTTAAATTCAACTTTAAGCAGACAAACACAAAACACACTGAAATGTTCACAAATACCCCGACTTCTCCACTTTGTGTTTGGTAGTTTGTTGTGATGAGACCAGCGTCTGCACATTGCAATTATCGCTTTACTTTCTAATTATGATTACAGTGATCGCACTCCACCGGCCTCTCTGTGCTAATAATTGCAGGTTTCCGCTTTTATGATTAATTTCAATTATCTCCATCACATCAAGCAGAAGTTGTGAAATTCCTGAACATCCATTTTCCTCGATGCCAAGAGTGACACTGGAAAACGGCGACATCCAGGCTCTGCAAATTACTCGCGGTCGGCTTCAGATTTAGGGACAGAATCAGATTTACAGCTCCTGCACTCATTATCCTGCCTTCACACCACAATACATTTATAATTGCAGTGGTTTTCCCGCTCGCTACATCATCCGTGACGGTTCCCTCTAAAACTGTCACTCTGTTCATACAACAAAGACCACTTCCAGCACGTATCTTTCACTGCCTGTCACTCGGGCGAATATTACACTTGGCGCTTTCGCTTCGTTGGGGGAAGGAGCTGGGATGAAATTAAAGGAGAACAAGGCATCTATCATCGCCGCATCAATGAAAATATCACAAGCCCTGTAGAGATGACAGTGATAATATAAACAATGCATTAGTGCGCCGTAATATCCATCTGATGAGCAGCTCCATCTTACGCAAGAGGAGAAAAAATATGCCATTAAGTGCAGAATAATTTCACTTTATGTCAAAGCCGCGCGTGAACTTCCTCCTCATTATTCTCTCCTCGGGAAATCAGGGTGTCCATTAGTAAACCTCGTGTTGCTGGTTTCTAGCTGATACTTCACCTCAGAGACAGGTATAATCATCTGTAGGCAGGTTTAAATCCAAGCACGAGGGTTAAATGTTTAAATGAGTTGTCATACCGTCGTTGCAGGAGGGGTCGTCTGTTGAGAAGACACAGGGAGGGTTATCCAGAGGTGGAGCGCCGCTGGGCCAGTGGATCTTTTCCATCTGAGACCAGATGATGTCTTTGGTGGTCCCGTTGTAGTAGGCGACAAGCTGTAAACACACAGAAATACGGATTTAAAGAGATGAACACACAGATACAACAGTAATGTGTCATTTCTTTAAAATAACTATATATGTTGATAATATTGTGCGAGCTTGTCTAAGGCAACACAACATCTCACTAAGGGTTTCTTTTATTAGTTGGAAAGTGAAAGTTTTGCACTTTTATGACAAAATTTCCACAAAACAAACCCCATTCATTCCATCAGCCTCTGTCATACGTCTGTTTAGTGCTAATTAGCAAATGTTTGCAAGCTAGCACACTAACTAAAACGGCTGAACATTGTCTGTTCAATGTCACAAAGTTGCTAATGTCATTGTGAACATGTTAAAATTGACGGTGTATGAACGATAGACATAGTGACGGAGGCGTCATCCGTTGTTGACTACCTTGATGTCGCCATGTTGCTCTTTTAAAACCAAATAGTGGATTTGACTGAGCAAATGCAAATACAGTTTACAAAATTAACATCACGCTGTATTAAAACAGACTTGAAACTAGTTATAAAGACCATAAACTCATTAGAAAAATGTTTACTGAGGTAATAGACCAAGTGAGAAGTAGGCTCATTTTCTCATAGGCTTACATACAGTCGAGCTCCAGGAGAAGTTGCCCCCTGCTGGCCATTAGAGAGACTGCAGGTTTAACTCATGCCCACCCTGCTTTCACTGTTCAGATCTTTTGTTATATAATCTGTGCATGTTTCCAAGCTGGCGTTAGCATTTAGCTCAAAGCCCTGCTATACATATAAATACAGCCTCATAGAGCTGCAACCAAGACAGCAAACTGTAGGTAGCTTCTAAAAACTGCCTTCTCTGTTCAGTCCTCCGTATCCTCCATGTGACGGTATGAATGAACCACAGCCGCTCAGCTCGTCTTAGACTAAAAAGCTGTTTAACCTGACATTTTAGAAAGCTTTTTTGCAAAATATGATACTTATTATATATTTATATATATCTTCTGTAAAAGTCCCACAGTCTAGTTTTAAGTCATCAAACATAATTATTTCCAAAAACCTCATTTACCTCAATCACTACTTCCTTATCTTGTTGCCTCAAAGTAATACATTTTTCTGTAATTACGTGTTTCAGACCAATTTAATTGCCCTAAAATAATGTGAAGGGCTACATAAAAACCTCATTACAAGATATTTAACTTAAACTGAGATAGGAGGGCAAATCAATCATTCCTTTTGGTGAAGTAACCTAAATGTGAGCTGTGTCGTTCAAATCAAATAATTAGGTCACAACGAATAAGAGCATTTTAGCTTCTTAAGAAAGTCAGACACTAAACTGTGATCTCACTGTAAATAATGACATTTGCTGCAGATCTTGGCTTCAGTTGTTAAGACAAGAGGAAATTTAATATTTCCGTACCGCATTAATGTTAAAAGAGTTTCACTTCAAAGCACTTTGCCATTTCTTCAATCTGTATTTAAAACATCGAAGCCAAACTACAGAACAAACTGCAGCTACACGAGCAGCGTTGGAGCAACATCCTGAGTGGCTTTATTCTGACGGTGCGGCTCCTACGAGCAGCATCTGTTGTCCTGCTGTGAAACACGACTCCCGTGTTTCTAAGTCGCCGGAGGAGGTTTTATGTGTTCCACCCCTGCTCCCAACATGTTGTGTCCTCGCTGCTGAAACCTCGAAGGCCGTCACCCCTGAGGAGGGTCATCAAAACAACGCAGAATGTGATGGGCGAAGGGGCCGACGCTGCTCGTCTGAAATAGCTGCAGCTCAGTGTTTACTGCGCTCCGCTCGCTGCCAACAAATCCTCCTAGAGCCTTTAAAGTCTTCAAGTCACTGTGGATGACGCAGCCTATTTCCAGTGCAGCTGAATAAACGTACACAAATGTAAAATATAATACACACCGTGTGGCCAACAGTTAGTAGATACCCATGCAGTATATCCACATATGATATTAAAATGATTTTTTAAAAGAACCTGGCTTTGTGCAAGAGTTGGAACAGAAGTAGTTCCTCACAAACTGTTCCTGCAAAGCTGCTCAAAAAACAACTCTGTAAGCTGCAGCATTAAAGGGCAACTCCACCAATTTTACACTTTCTACACAACTACTGCATGTTTAAAAGAGGCTGGACAAACCTGATAAACTTCCTCAAGACAACCTTTTTGCAGCTGGGTTGCATTGTGGGAAATGTAGTTGATTTGACGAGGAAGAAATAGATTATATCTGGTTCTGCTGCATTACCTTTTGTATTCTTTTTCTTATATTTTAAAGACCCCCTTTGGTTTTTTTTATCTTGTCAGCATGTCCATGTGGTGTTCTTGATATGCTAGAAGATCAGTCCGTGCTGTGACCGAAGCTGCAACGTAGCAAAATCACAAATTCAAACATCTGGGGTTTCACTCATAACAAACCAAAGGAACTAATCGTGTCAACTTGCAGCGTGAGGCTTTCTGCATCATTGTTCTTCAGAATCATTTTGCAGCTATTGCTAAATTACTTTAATATTGCAACTTGCCATTGAGTAGGGTAGGTGAGCTGGTGTGCTCGAACTGCAGAGGTGTGGGTGGAGAAAAAAGCAGAGGCTTCATAGATCTGCACACTGAAGAGGAAGCAGCAGCGTCGAGTTACATCTCAGCTATTTTAAGGCTGGCAAAGATTATGTGTAGCTTTGATACACAAAGATGAGTTTTGAAAGTGTAAATGATCCATTGTGAATCAGAGGTGCAACGCTAAACCACTTCAGTCATTAAAAATTGAACCGTAGTTCATTATGTTGTATGAACACGATCATGAAGGAGTTTGTTTTTCCTCTGTAACTGTGAACATAGCAGTGTACGAATAGAACAGCTTTGCACAACAAGGGTTGTCGTACGGTGATAATCAAGTATCTGTCACATTTAAAGCAACCGCCAAAGTGCTTCACGGTAGAAAAGTAGTAACCTCAGTAGATTAAATATTGAAGTTAAGTCCCTACGGTGTCATTTATGGTGTGAATTTACCTGAATTGTTGAAATATTGCAGATTAAAGCTATACAAAAAATATCTAAAATACAACTTCATCTGATGATAATAAACATAAATGCTAAGAACCGACAGTATTAATAATAATAATGGAGATTAACATGACTAATTTAGAAATTCACGCTATGTGCATGAAAACCCAACAAATCCAAGGATTCCCTGTGAGCAAGCTTTGTTTTAATTATTATTTTTTATCTGTTTTATCATGTCTTTATGTTTTTAAATGTCGTTTTAATGTTAAGTAGGAAAAAACTGTTGACAATGTTGCTGCTAAAGAATCCTGAGGGAACGAGCAACACTTTTTTCCTACTAACGTAGCACCATCATCACATATATGACTTTATTATTATTAGAAAGAGAAGAATATGGAACATAATGGAAAATATATATAATAGAAATATAAAATATGTATGTTTTATAGTCCGTTATAATGATTAAAGACAGGTGATTTCCATAAATGGATAAAATAACTTACAGAAATCGCCAGTTGCACAACATATAAAGTATTCCAACACTCTGAGAGCTGAAACTCTTCCCTGCTCGGATGTTTTGAAGCAGGCTGCAGGCGACTCGGGTCAATCGGCCATCTGAGTCGACCAATTAAAAGCCAAAGATAAATGAGACCAGGAAGTCACGCTGACAGTCTCTCAGGGCCGCTATGAAATTCTAACTGAAGTCAAATGTAGCTAACCCACTTCTTCTCCTGCCCCATCGGGGAAAGAAAAAAAAAACAAAAGACACAGCAGGGTTTTTAGAACGAAACATACACAAATATTTTCATCAGACTCGGAGGGAAATTTGAGGTTTTATGCATCTTATCATTAAAGAAGTCAAGACCCCAGATTATCTCACACACAGTAACGTCCACTTTCCATTTGTGACGTCAAACGTGTGATTTCACTGAATCTACGGCCAAACTAAAGCGACGGCTGAGGTTTGAGCTGTGAATAAGTAATGATGAAATATTATAATCGATGCACATGAAGTAAATCTGGAGAGTTGTAGGTAGAGTTCTGCTTTAAAGGAGACAAAGTAGGTTTTTATGGATTAAAAATAAAAATATTATTACTATTTGCACTGTGGGGACACTATAATGATTGCAGTTTTCCCTAAAAACCTGCCACGTGCAAACAAAAAAGCTTTACATTACAGGAGACTTTTTTTAATTATTAATGTGTCTTAATGTCTGTTAAAACACTGTAGTACACGGAGCAATACAAAATACAACTACTTTGTTTCTCATTCCAGTTCATTTCTGACAACAGTTTAGCGAATAATTTGATAAATAGCCAGTAAAAGATCATCTTCCATCAAGGAAACTTACAATAATTACATTATAATGTAAGTTAGAATAAAAGTTTTTACTAAAAATCTACTTTTTCTTTCCCCAGCTGGACTGATATTTGTTTACTCAACATTTTTTATCCATTTTTTGGACCAACTGTAATGTGCTTTAGCACCAAGTTAATCTGGGGGGTGTTTTATGCCTTAATTAGAGCCAACAGTGGTGAGATGAGAAGAAATGAGGGTACAGAGAGCCACTACTGTGCCCCTATAATGTGTTTTTTAAACCAATATGCTTCCATTTCTTCTGTCCAAAAAGTTGTTCCTATTAATGATACTCAGCTAACTCCACTATCATATAGTGAAAAAGCCACTAAGCAAGACAAGGATCTGCTGAACTGGCTTATCAGTCCCGTCCATGCACAGCAAACCTGCCTCTGCCAAATGTGCTTATCAGCTGTCGGTGACAATCTGTTTGCTCCTGGGTGTATCGTTCCTCTATCCGTCATTACAGTCACAGCAGAGGTTTGATACGACACGCTTGTGAATGTTTTCCTCTTTAGGTCCTCTCGTTATGCAATTTGCAAGGTCTATACCTTACTTTGTTAAGTGTTATGTGATGACATATGTGGCAAACTGCACTATACAAATAAAACTAAATTGAACTGAACTGAAAGCAGTCAGACTGCTCTTCTCCAGTCTGCAGCATTTAAGACAGTTCAATCCAATCAAGTGTGACCACAGATTAAGATCTTTAGAGGAATAACAGCATCACATCATCATCATCATCACATATATGAACAGCAAAAGTTAATATATGAGTTTATTTTGCAGGCTTTCTCCCCCACTGACTTATGCTCTTTTAAATCAGTTCTTCTTCACAGACAATCTCATCCCAAATCTTACTGCAAGTACAATTACTCCAGTACAACCGGAAGGTAGCTGCACTTCACTTAAGTCTTTTCTTTTTGTTGCATTTCAGAGGGAATGTTTCATTTCATTAAGGAGTCATTGTACAAATTAAGATGTTTACACACAAAACATGAGAAGATATATATTATTCTTAGGTATTACTTCAACTACCCAACGGTTTATACACGTACAGCTGAAACAACGGTTGATTTATCAGTTGGCTAATTGACAGAAACTTAATTAGCAACTATTTTCATAATCAATTCCATGATTTTTCATAAATATAAACATTTGCTGCTTTTTTTTGTATAATTTTTAAATTTATTTTGGACTCTTGGTTGGACAGGGTCACTTTTGGACTTCAATTTTATATATTTATTTCTCACAGTTTTCATTTTCAATTGGAAAAAAAAAAATCACTAATGACGGTAATCATTAGTTGCAGTCCGATGCAAAAAAGTTCAAAACTAGCATCACCTCAACCAGCTACAACAGTAAAATCCTGCTTGATCTTCCTTGTCTTTGCTGTATTAATGTACAGATAGATCTACTGTAATAAACTCTGTCAATTTTAATGCTCTAATTGCATTGTACTAATTATACGTACATACTTTTACTTAAATAACATTTTAAATGCAGGACTTTTGCTTTTTTTTTTTTTTTTTTACAGCGTGCTATCAGTCGTTTTAATTAAGTAGAAGATCTGAATACTTCCTCCACCAATAAGAAAATGAAAGACTTTGACATGACACATTAGTGTTAAAAGAATAGTTTGTCAGATGGTAAGTTTAGTGATCCACCACCACCGATATCAGTCAGAACCTCAGTGAAGCAGTAAAACCATGGCTCACCCCGTACTCTCCTGTCTGCTGGTTGGTCATCGCCCACAGGTTCACGTCTATATTTCTGGCATTTTTGTCGTCCATAGAAACAAGCCCTGTCACTCCTAAAAACACAGAAAATATCAAATTAAAGGCATGACAGTGTGTCTCCATTAATGGTCCTGACACAAACTAAGATTCAGGAGTTTTGTCGAGTGTTTTTCTTTCAAACACTTAAAGATAGAAGTTGATGTATCTGTTAAACCAGCGAACATTATCGCCACCAAAACACCCACAACAACGCGGCGAAAGTTTCCATTATCGACCCTGTTTTCTCAGTTTTCTCCCCATCACGCCGAGCAAACAAGATCTCATCAATCCTTTCAAGCTGAAGCAACAAAACCCCATTGTTCTGCCCCTTTCAGTCCAACATGCGATCTGGCAGAGCAAACAGGGAAGTGTGCGAGCAGCCACATCAAACACCAAATGGACTATTAGCTGGAGTGTTGTGTGATAACTGTTCAATAACATTATAATTGCTGTGTTGAAAGGGCAAATTTAATCGCATCTTAGGTTCAATGGTGCTTTTCTAATATCATGCAGACGGCCTATTTATCAGAGAGCGCCTTTGATCTGAAATGCAGCCATCGTTTTGTAGTGAAATGATTGGCAACATGTTAGGTGGAGACGCTTCATTTATATATTTATCAATATCAAGTTGTCGTTTTGCACGAGCTGCGAGTTGAAATCAGCCAGCAGAAGTAAAAAAGCACCAACGTCTCACTTCATTTATTGTTTGAAAAAAGGTTTGCAGATGTCTGAAGCTGTTCATAAGCGCTGCTCACCCCAGAAATTGCGGTTCTGTGTCCGCATTGTGATGTTAATGCCGTCGTTCTGGGCCCCGCCGTCCGCCAGCGTCTCCTCCAAGGCCATGGCGTACAGCACAAAACCGTCGTAGAAGCTGCCGGCGATGTAGTCCATCTGCAAGGAGAGAGGGATAACTGTTACCACACGGCAACAACAGGAACCTAGGCCCAATTTTAAAAATATAATGACTTAATATGTGTGAAATAAGTCTCACGTGGCTCAGTTTTCAGCTTAAAACACAACAAAGATGGTTAATTTAACTCACATGTTTAGTGAGTTTGTCAGATGACGGTGCGATTAATAAAAATCAGTAGCAGCAGAGTAGAAATGGTTCTGAAGTGACTGCTGGTTAACATGTAGTCTTAATGGGCTGCATCTCAGTCACTATTTCATAATTATTCTGTCATTCTGATACCAAAAACAGAAAAATCCATAAACGAGAACAGCTTCACTGGGAATTCGGCTGCATTCAAATGCAATTTATGTGAGCACGTGAGAGCAGGATCTTCCTACTGTTGTGGTGCCATCAATCATAAATGTAATCCACTCAGTCTACACTTCATAAGATGCTGAGAGTGCATGAAGACTCTTGTGTTCACTCTTGCAGCCAAAAGCAGAACGTTCGGTGAACTTTGCTCGTAGCCGAGGCAATTTAGATCAAACAGTAAATGTCTTCATATTGTAACAGCTTTAACTTCACCTCTCCAAGTTTATAATCACCACAAAACACAATAAAAATAGATTTTCACCATATGGGACCTTTAAAGGAGGAGAGGTGTAAAAGCATTCTTCTGTGAAATTATACGATATTGGCTAAAGCAAGTACAAACTCATTTTGAAATTACAGACTATTGCATTTTAGTGAAGCTCACTGGTACAAAAGTTGAGATGAAAGCAGCAACAATAAAAGTATAAATTGAATAAACTATTGCAAACATCATTCGTCATGAGATGCTGACAGTTACACAGCATAGCGGGATATTGTTCTGCACAGAATATCCTATAAAAGATTCAATATTTTGTGATGCTATGCAGAACAAAGAAGGATTTCAGAGGCTAGAACTTACCAACGACGGCTCCAAATGGACACCGAAATCCTTCTGAGCTCTGGCGTGAAGTTTCCTCTGAAAGTCTTTGTATTCTGGGTTATCAGGAGGCCGGTACGTTATGACGAAGACAGACTGGAGGAGGCACAGAGAGGGAAAAACATGAATAATACTACAGCATAAGATCTGGGACTTTAAGGAAGAACATGCAAAATATCAAATTCCAACACATATTCACAATACCCAACACTTTTGTGTGTGTGTTTGTGCATGTATATATATATCTTTATTTATATTCCCCAAAAAACCCTCTTTGCACTTATTATGTGGATAAAAAAAAAAAAAAACTCTGGCATGATGTAAACAAACTTCAGTATTTGATTATATTTTTGTGTTTAAATCTGACTGCACAAAAAAAAGCAATAATTCATGGGAATAATTCTTGTTGCTAATCGCTGACATATCCTGGACTGGGATTTTTTTTTCTTTAAAAAGAAAATAACATTTTTTCTGTGTGTTTTTTTAATTAAAAAAACAAAACAGTGGCATCATGCTATATAGACTATGAATAATATATGATAAAATATAAAATGAGTGTTCCTAAGAAACAATTAGCTTTTGGTAAAGTAAAGCAAAGCACAAACTTTTCCCCCGTTACTGTAACTGTTCTACATAGTTTCAGTGCTAATCTCAATAAGGTGTTAGCATCATTGAAGTGTTAGCTTGCTAACTGTCTAACTGAGGCAATAACAGCGCTTCTGAGCTCCTTCATTACTCTTAATTTTCTAGAAATTACTCTTGAAATCTCAAAATAAGACACTAAATGCATCACTCTAGCAAATGTAATAACATTTAATTGCACAAATTCGGTAACTTGACTTGTATTAAACTCCAAACGTTTCAAAGCCCCAACAGACTGTTTGTGATGCTGAGATCAGGAGTTAATTGTTGTTATTACAGCAAAATAACAGTCTAGTTAATATAAAAGAGAATACATGATGCTACAGCTGAATACAGAAGTTCAGGTGCTGAAAAAAGGGAAATTGTAATTGTAACGGTCTCTATAGAACAAACACATTAGGTTTAATGGTTGCTAGTTTAAATACAGGCTACATAAAGAGTCTGCTGCTGTTTTCAATGGCATCAGACTGTTCTGACTCCAACTGCGCATCACTTAAAAGCACAAAGCTTTACAATTTAAGCAGCGCAAACATTTTAAGACACCAACAGAACAGCAACAGCAGCAGGAGTTTCTTGCTTTGTAATAACAGCCAAACAGTAGTTTCTTTCCTCTTCTGTCGCCTATAGGGACACACATTTGTCGAGCGACGCACTGTTTCTGCTGTCAGATTCCAGCAAACTAATTGCTTCAGAGCTTTTAGTCTTTTTAGTTCAAAAGGAGGACTGATTAAATCAAACCTTCACTGTTGTGAGACTAAATTATGTGTTTTGTGTCAGTGCTGATCCTGCAGTGACAGACTGTGTGGAAGCCTGTCTGACTGCAGCGTTCACCATCTAAAACTGTTGTCTACAAACCGCTTTAACAGTATGAACAGGGGGCTTTCAATGTTTGATCAAGTGTCTGAATAGAGAAATCAAACGTTTAGGGAGGCGTTTCAGTGCTCCACAGCTGACCTTTGATTCTGTTCACATATTTGCAGTCACAAAAACAAGTATTTGGCATTTCCATGAAGCCTTTTAGTGTCGTTCTTTATTGGGGGAAAAAAAAGAAAAGCTACAGATTGTTTTTCATGTTACAACAGTAATTGGAACCCCTCCACAAACTTCCTCGAGCAATTATTGCGCTAAAGGAAAGCATATTGCCATAATGAGCCCCGCTATGGCCTGCAGACAAATTAACGCCTTGCATGATCAGCAGCACTGGAGCCAAAGTTCTGTTCTCCAGCCAAGGTTAGGAACAGTTCACATCCACATAAACACATAGTCAGATCACTGGAGCTGTTTCATCACAACTCACGGTTTCAACACAGAAAAAAAGCACTTCAATAAGTCATTAAATGTGGTCTCTGATCTTAAAATTGCTTCCTTCTTGAACAGAATCCAACCCTTGTGCACAGACGTAGGTATCGTGAGATAACATCTTATCCCCAGTCACTGTTTTCATGTGCTGTAATCAAACAATTGATCATTTATTCAGGTTAAAACTTGCCTTTTGCAGTGCTGTTAAGCATTCCAGAAGAACAAATAGGTAGAGATAAAAATTGGAAATGCATTAGTAATGTTGCATATAAACCACCCCATAAGTCCTGCAAATGGAGTGCATAAGATACGGATTTCCCAACCATCCTAAGTTAATGTTTTAACTGATTCTAGCATTTTAGTTTAGTCCATTATGACAAGAGTTGCCTTAATCAGTTTGATATTTTACCAGATTTATATTCCGAACGCTCCTCCAGAACTTTTTGAACACTGAATTAAGAGAATTAAGAGAAGCCGGCGTGACATTTAAGGAGATGAATTAGACGAGCGACACATCTGTGCCTACTTTCTTATTTCTCCGTGCGCTAATTTGTACGGCTAAATGGCTTCCTGTGAAAACATCCCCTCGTTCATTAATGTCATGCAAGAATTTCACTCCCTTAAAGTGGTGGAAGGGGGCTGGTGGGTTTGTGTCCTCTGGGCACGGGAGACTCAATTTGCGCACCAATTGGCAAAACTGAAGCAACTTCTTAAGGTAATTAGAGTGTATGTGAGATTCTTTCATTACCATAAAAGCTTTACCTGCTTTTACTTCCCAGCGCTTTCACTAATGCTTACTCAACTCAAAGTTAATTGAAACCCCCAATTAATTATGATAATGTCAGTCACAGACCTCCGTCTCCCAAACCAAATGGAGGTCTTCTATTATTGCCAATTACAGAGCGGTTTAAACAGCGACTGTTCACATGTGATAAATCAAAAAACACGAGCGTACATGTGGATGTATTTTCAGTGTTTAATGTACCTTGAAGACCTCGATGGGGTCGGCCCAGTCGGACTCAGTGTTTTGCCACGGTTTGCGATCCGCCAAGCTCTCGGCAAACACGTCCAGATAGAAGATAGCGTAGTTTTCTGGGTCCTGGATCTCACTCTGGAACAGTTTCATGATGTTCAGGAACGTCTCCAGGGGCCCACAGATGTACACGACTGCAGACAGAACAACAGCAATGAATCAAATATCGACTTTCATCACTCGTTTGTTTTTAAAACATATAGATTATGTTCAAATGCTGCAAAAATGTCACATAGGAGACGAAAGGATGGTCACAGCCTGCCATCGACCTGAGCTCTGTGCTTGGTCTATCCTCAGTGGGGAAACATAAATAATACAATTTATTAAAATACTGTACTTTAATACAAATTGGAGGTGCTTGTACTTGTTCATTGTACGTCTACCACATTTAAGAGACAAATATTGCACTTTTTACACCATATCATTTGTCTAACAGCTGTAGTAATTAGTTATTTTCTAGATTTTTCTCACCTTTCCTGTCCAGTAAAAACTGCATCTCTCAAAATCTGGTGACTTTGAATGTTGGATGAACTGTTTCTTAATGAGTTCAGCACATTCCCACTTGTTAAGATACAAACTACTTTTAATGATCCTCTTGGATTAGTTTCTTAGCTTTTTAGAATTAGGTTTTTTTGAAGTTCACAGTCTGTTGACTTTTTAGAGACGAGTGGTTCTCACAGGTCAGTGATGCTACAACTGACGGATTGTAGACTAAACCGCCGGCCAGTATATTAAGTTAAGTAAATTAGCTCAACTTTGAACATCTACAACAGTAAGATGCAGCAGGAATATTAATCCAAAAACATCATATTTAATAGTAAAACACTGACAAAGACCATCTTACTGCACAATGATTACTCTCATTTGACATATTTATTTAGTTATGCTAATAATAATAATACTAATAATAATAATAATAATTTTTTACTTAAGTCAGAGTTTGAATACCAAACCTTTACTCGTGCTATGAGTACTTTTAATTAAGTAAAGGTTATCAGAAGGGACACACTGTAGAAGTTGTTACACAACAAGAGACAAGGCAAAAAAAATAAAAATCTGCTTTGTTAGTCTGTTTGTGCATCATGAGGTGTTCCAGCTGCTGCATCAGTTTACATCAGCTATGATACTAAAGGATCAATTGTTGGACCCGACATCCTGCATCTTCCAGGCCAACGTCGTGCACTCTAAACCCGTCATTATAAAGTCGTAAAATTTCGTAACAACTGCTTCTGCAGTGAAATTTCAACATGCTCCCAGGCCAAGTCGACATGTGTCAAGAATTTTCTAGATTGCGGCACTTAATAATAGCCAGCCACCAGTCGGCCATATTTGATTATTTATTTATTTGCCCAACATCTTACAAGCGCCGTGCACACATGAATAAACTCCAGATGGAAGTCAGATGCAGAGTCGGCTCTCGTCTGCAACAAGAGAGACGTAAAAACTGAGGCTGGAGCAATTTGACTTTGCGAGCCCATTGTGTTGTACATGATGGTCTGGCTGCACTTCACTGTCATTCCGCTATTAGGGAAAAACGCTTTGGTTAGTTTGAATTCTTTTAAACCAAATCCCAGTTGTCTTTGGGTGGAGCTAAACGAAGGATGCTACTTCAGTGGTCGCTCAAAGTCGTGACAGGTAGAAATGTTTTGGTGGAACATTTGCATGCATTGAGGCTGTCTTTAAAATGGATAAACCACTAAAAACACGAGCAGTGCGTCATGACTGCACGATCCAAATCCTCAGCAAAAGTTCAAACTTTCACTGTGGTCGATTACTGCTGGGAGGTTGTTGTTACTGTTTCCGTAGTAAAGTGGACTTTGAAAACAGTAACACACAGGCAGAGGAAGGAGACTAAAATGATCGGCAAATGGCAGGTTTATACCCACAGCCTACATTCAGGGGATCAGACTGAGGCTGGAGAGCAGAGGCCTGATCTACAAGGCGAGTTCAACATACCTGGGTTATCTTTTTGTTATCTAGTGGTCACACAAAACTGGGACTAAACTCAGCAGGTCAACCCAGGGCTTCTGGATCTAGCTCTTACATGAAAGAGGCGGAGTTCAGATGATCACAAACATGGACAGGCCATGTTTCTCACAAAGAGAACAAACCAGAATCCTTAATCAGTACGAGAAGTTTAAAAAAGGCAACACGGTTTAACAGGCTTTATGTAGATGTTGCTTAGATGTAGGTTTCCTATTCAATAATATTACGTAACACAAGATTGTATAACCAAATTACGATGTATTTCCTTTATGCTACTCACAAAAAGACATTATGTAAAGAATAAATAATCAAGTAATAAAAATCATTTCAGTGTGGACGACAAATCCAGTAATGTCACATTCACTCTCATAGCGTCTAACGCAGTCGTATTCCTTCAGCTGCTCGGTGATGTTAAATGGTTTTAGGAGCACGTAAACCTTAAATTTGTTCTTTGCTAGCGTCATGTAAAGCTGCTTTAGGGCTTTTAGTGCTTTATCAGTCTCTGTTTTAGGATTATATCGATATACAAATGCCAAAGCAGCTCTCAAAGTGCAGCTCCACAAACTGTTGCCCTCCTCAGAGATCCTCTCACTTCAGCACACCGAGCTCTGGATCTTCTAGGAATAGTGATGCCATTTTCCAAGAGAACTGATTGATCTGTTATCTCAAACATAACCCATTAAAGGAGGGGTTAACTCTACATCCTGCTTCGTAGTACAGACCTTCAGAGGACAGCTAAGACCTCGGAGTCTGAGGCTTGAAGGTTGTCTGAAGCAGTGGGAGTTGCCTGCTGCTAATAGGTGGGGCTTCACTTGTCTCGTTACTAGTTTACTCTGCTTGTATATACACGCCTTGATTTTTTTTGTAACCCACCTAAATCCCCAAATTTCCTCCTTGCCGCCTCAGTGTTGATGTTCTCTACCTCAGCTGTGACCTATGTGGAATTTCAAAACATCAACAGCTGAGAGTAGATTGAGGGGAGATATTGAGAATATCACAGAAACAGACATGCAGAAGTTCTTTTAGCTCTATTTTTTTTTTTTGTGACAGTCGTGCCATGTGCATTCTGACTGGATTGGCACATTTCCTTTGGCTGCACTTCTGTTTGATCAAATGACTGTATATGCAATCGCATCAATCTGCTCCGACAACACCATCACTCCCTGTTAACGCCACAGTTGTTGGACATATTTTCCAGAATTTCTTGGAATTTCACATGTTGAAAAGAACAGCGCGGCGCGAGCAGTGAGTGGATAATGCAGTTTGACAGCTGGCTCATATTTCAACTTTTGAAATGTCTGATTCTAATAAACGTGAGGCTTCAATACAATTGCGTGTGGTAGATGAAGAATGAAAAAACATCAATCACAGGCGAGCCACGACGGAGGAAAAGCATGCAAAGATGAGAGTCGGTATCAGTTCATAGGGTGAGGACAACCAGAGAAAGAAGAGAAATGCAAAACGTATACGGGACATTATAAATCTATTAAATATTAAACAATACTTTCGACAGTATCTTACTTTAGGGAATGTTTTCCACACACACATGCAGTCCTTCAAGAATTTGCCCTCAAAAAAACACCACATTAGGGTCCGAGTGACGTAAATTATCTCTTCTATCCAAGTCTGTGCTACAAGAGCAGGAGTGTTGAATACATAGGTACCAATATACTCTGCATTTGTGGAACAAAGTCCTCCGAGTAGATCAAAAAGTGGTGTCACGCCTCGATTACACTCCCTAATCAATGTGTACACGGACTGCTGCAAACATCACTTACACATAGCTGTTGTTGTGATGCTACTTTTAGCCTGTATGGAGTTCACTCAGAAGATTCTGATCCATGGATCTCAATGCATGGAGAGGACATTCATTCCTCTCCATGTACATATACCATGACAGTAAAGGCATGGCGTGGATGTGCACTTGTTGGTATTATACGACTTTTATAGTCAGTGGAAATCTGTGTGACAGACTCCAGCATGTGGCCCTTTGTAGCAGACAAAATGTTTGCAGACTTTTGTGGATTTGATAAGATGTTGAAAGTTACGCTGACCCTCGCGAACCCTTGTTTACACCCAGAAAATATAACACTAGTCTTTAGGGGTGACAAAATGTACGTCATGCTGACCCTTGTGAACCTCCTTGTACTACCCGACTTGGAAAGTATAACACCTGCCTTTGGGGAATGGCAACTCGTGGACCTTAATGTACTTCCAGACTCGGAAAATATAACACCAGCCTTTAGGAGCAACAAAATTTACATCATATTGACCCTAGCGGACCCTCGGAAAGTTTAACACCAGCATTTCATCACTTTAGTGGCCCATCGGCTGCTCGCAGATCTACAGGGTGGTGGTTTTGGACACATTTTCTAGCACTGGACACTTGGTGGATGTATGATTACCAAGACTGATAGGTGCTCTAGTTGTCTGAACAGAACCCGAACACAAGCTACCCTTTAGCTACAACCGTGGATGCACCTGATTAGACTTCTCTCGGGTTCTGTCTACTTCCAGATTTCAATCAGCATGACCGCTTGTTTGGAAATGTTCCTTCACATTACAAAAATAGTGTTTCAGAAAACCTTTGAGAAGAAATAAGCCATGCAGCTGCTGAATCTGTCTTGATTTTTAGCTCAACAAAAGTTAGATAAAAAGGTTTTTTGGGAGTTTCTGGAGGTAGAGAGTCGTGCCTGACCCCCTTGATTTACATAAAGTAGCCTTGACCTCAATTTTATGTAAAAAAGCTGTGGCCAGTGTGATGTCCTGTCTCTGGAAGTGCAACACTCTGCTACCAGAATGCATTGCATGGCTACTGACAGACAATTCAATTCAATTCAATTTTATTTATATAGCGCACTTCACAACATATGTCATCTCTACAATGTTTAGTCTACAATGAACGGAAAGCTTGGAAATGACGGATTTTGTTTAAGTAATAATAACGATGCATCTGTCGTGTTCATGTGAGCATCCACAAGCGAGTATAGTCAGGGCTTAAAAAACAAACTTAAATATCTGACATTCAGCACCAACCTTCAATATGTGGCAGCAAACACTTCTGTCCATCCCTAAAAAGTACTGACTCTCAAACATGAATGGAAACTCAGTGATTTCAGCTTTACTGAGCCTCTAGATATTCAGTCTC